CACCTTGCAGCAATTAATGAGACAGGGTAGGATAAGGAATTGCAGACTTCAAAAGATAATGAAACACACACAGTTGGGAGGACGCCATAACTCAGATAACACTTGACAAATCAAAATAATTCACGCTTTGCTTCCAGCAAGGAGCTGTGCGCAAACACCCTCTTTATCCTGTTTTCCCAACTTCAGCTAATGAATGGAATCAGAGCCTTTTTCTCCCCGTAACCCACATTGCTCCCTTCTCCGTTCCTCCCTGCGTGCCCTAGGATGAAGACGGGGTAGGCCTGGGTCTTCCTCTGAATGCCCAGCCGGACTGAGCCCTTTCCCAGTTTCCTCCACAGCCACCGGAGCCACATTCCCATTCCCTGTCAGCTGTTCCACCGCTCCCTCGGAGTCAGATTCCAACAGGGATATAACAAAAGTCTTATGCTTACATCTAACATATAAATTTTCTAAATAGGTTTTGAGGTGTGTGATAAAAATATATATATTATAACACGGTCTGCTAAATATATATGAACATTACATAAACTAAAACAATCTTGAGCAACAGACTATGATAGGAAAGTACTTACTGTCCCAATTCCCTCCAAGCTGAGAAATTTCCTAAATATTGTACATCAATGAAATTAGGTTATTATCACTAATTTTTAAAGTAATAAAATATATGTATTTCCTCCTGGTGGAACAGTGGTCTGTTTGGGCAGAACAGCACACTCCTATTACATTTTCTCCCATGGAAAAATAGCTGCCATAAGAAGATTCTTTATTAGATCATACATCATGCTGAGCTATGGTTTGCTTTAACTATAAGTTTACTAAAAAGTTATTACTTATGAGTCACATTTATATGTTGTCTTTATAATTTTTTTATAATTTTATGACTGATTCCCCACCACTTTATGGTTGCTTCTACTTCAAGATGAGAAATCTGTTGGATCATTTAAGTGATTTATCTGGCATTCTAGATATCAGTGACCTACTACATTTATTTAATAAGTTCATATAAAAAGACAGAAAGGTAGATACCTTTTTCACTTCATTCCTTAGCGGTTGGTAGTTAAAATATGTTATTGTGATTCAGAAAAAATAAACCGCCAAGACTCCTGGCCACTGTCACTCTAAACCTCTATGAAATAATCCCATTCCTTTTTAAATCCTCAATTGACAGTGCAATCAAACATTTACCTTTAAAAGAATTATAGATTTGTCTGTCCCTACATTTAAATAGATGACTTAAATTTTAAGATTGAGAGGGACGAAAAAGTAATATTTGTCACATTTCTTCATACCATGTATGACTTAATATGACTTATCAGAGATTTATGTGTAGGACTATATTAGTAGCTTTATGTTCACCTCCCTACCCATTAATTCAAAGCATGGATCTATCTTTTTTAAAATACCAACTATACACTGAGTTGACATTTTCGCTGAGTTTCCCAATGTGACTCTATGATCATCCTGATCAGTCATTACCAGCACAATTCCCATTAACATATATGGAACCTCTAGGGTTTCTGTTCCAATGTGCATCATTTGGCATGTGCTTATATTAAATTGCATTTGTCATTTTTAAACCCATTCACTTTAAGCCTTTATGGAATTGTCAGAGGCTTGGACAAAGAACAGAAACAAAGCAGAAATAATTGAAGAACCCACAAACAAAACATTAATTCATCACATGAAGCCAACAAGCCACAGCTTCAAATTACAGTTTACTGCCCTAGAAGAAATGCTCACTTATTTACAGGCCCATTAGCATGTTATCCTGCCATAATCCCAAGCCACTTTATGGTATACTATGGTGTTAAACAAGTAAGGCTGCTATCCAATAGAAAATATACCAGCAGCAAAATAGTCCATTTGTTCCCACTCACGCCACAGCCTTCCCAAAACCCCAAACAACTCTTTTTGGAGGCTCGAAAGATTTTCTAGAGCAGATTTAGCACACAGAACATAGAATCATAGGGCTGGAAGCTGACCTCATACGTCTTCTAGTCCAATCCCCTGCTCAAGGCAAGAGACCTTATACCATCCCTGTCAAATGGTTGTCCATTCTATTTTTTAAAAACTTCCAGTGATGGAGCACCCACAACTTTGGGAGGCAAGCTATTTTTTTGATTAATTGTTCTCATTGTCAGAAAATTTCTCCTTACTTCAAGGTTGGATCTCTCTTTAACAAGCCCCCACCCATTTAATACTTGTCCTGCTCTCTGATGCTTTGAAGAATAGGTCAATCCTCTTTTCTCTGTGACAGCCCCTCCAGTACTGGAATATAGTTATCATTCTCCCTTCTCACCAACAAAAATCTCCTTTCTTTGATAGCTAGGCATCCCTAATTCTCTCAATCGTTAATCATACAATTTAGCCTCCAAATCCTTTATCATTTTTGTTGCTCTTTTCTGTACTCTTTCTATGGTCTCAGACCTTCGTATAAGAGAGAAGCTGGCTGCTTTCTACAATGGGATGTTTACTTATGTGCAGTAAGTCTCATAAGAGAGTGTAAAGACTTTGCCATCATGATCTACTTCAGAAGAGATTGCACTAAAGCATAATTCCTGTTAACCATTAACACTTATCTGGATTGGAGAAAAACTAGTGATTTTGCCATAACTTCATTAACTGAAAATTCTCTCCCCCCCCCCCCCCCAGATTTCATGCCTCTGGTAATTATCATATTCCAAATGGTCTAGATCAGGGTGTTAAACTCATGTCATCACGTAACGCATAGGGACTTTTTCCCCTTCACTTATCTGGGCGTGGCGTGGCCAGTGCATGATGCTTCGGGCTCACGGGTCGGGAGTTTGACAGCTCTGGTCTAGATTTAGCATATTATAGAAATCTTCGGAAAATGATGGCAAATAAAATTTAAGAATATGCAATAGTATTTCTTTGTACCATGCTATAGCACTTCAAAACACTCTCTAGCCATTTCATAGTTTAGACACATGAAAACTTTACTTTTAATTTTTTGCAGTCAACAGAAAAAGCACTATTGTGTACAGTTGTTTTATGAAACAATAATTGATTTACATGAGATGGTATTTTAAGACACTTTGAATACTGAAAAATGCCCCAAATGAGTATTTTCAGCCAATTTAAAATACAAAAAAAATGTAATACCTAATATTGGGGGGGAAAGCACCCAGAAGCCTCAAAAGAATAGGAAATGAAATTGAAGTTCAAGGAGATTAAGATTTTGCCACCTATATCAAGTGTGTGTGTGTGTGTGTGTAAATAAAATCACTATGCTAGAAAGGTAAGCCACTTTGGTCTAGTCACTAGACTCTAGTGGTTGTGGCACCAGGCTAGAAAATGACTAGAACCATGAGTTCTAATCTTGCCACAGCCATGAAAACCAGCTGGGTGACCTTGGGTGAGGTATTATCGTTTAGCCAACGCACCTCACAGGATACTGTTGTGAGGAAAATAAGAAGACAAAGGTTATATTCATCATCTTGAGTTATTTGTAAAAATAATAAAGATAGGATACAAATAAATAAATGTAAATATAAACTTATTTTTCAAATTAGCTCTGAAACAACTTACAGTGGGACATCATGGCACTTTTTCATCCTTCAAGGAAAAAAATTACTAAATTCTTAGTTTCAAAACATACTTGATTCCACAATACATTTTTACTTTGGTTTCTCACATTTTCCTGCAACTCTTATTAGAAGAAAGAATAAATAGGTTCTAAATAAATATGTTAATTTATACTTTCTTCTTGTGTATGTGGATCCATAGGCATTTTTACAAGCAAGCTAAATAAACTTCCAGGATAATAGAAAGTGGAGTAATTTAATCATTACTGTTTCCAGATGCAGTCAAGAAAAATATGGAAGTGTTGAATATTATACAAAGTTTGTGTTATTGAAAACAGTTGTAATTATTTTTACGTATTTGATTTATATCCCACAGTTCTTTTCAAACAAGTTCTCCCGCCAATTTCTTATCTTCAAAAATAGCAATATAACTTAGAAATTCTAAATATATTTATTTAGATCAACTGCTGATGAAAGATTCTATGCACACCATTCATCCCTACATACATTTTAATGCTATATTCTCCAAAATCTGATTCTATGGTTTTATTTTTGTAAAAGAAGCTTATCTAAAAATGCTCTTCAATGACCTTGAATACTCACTGCAATTCATTCCATACTTTCTATGAAAACAAAATTAAGAAGCAGTTTAATGGGAAGCCTATTACTATTCCTCTGCTTGATAACATTACCAATAAAATGCACCATTGTAATCCTTCATTATTTATTTACTGACTTTTATCCCGCCCTCTTATTACTGTATAAGTAACTCAAGGCAGTAAACATACCTAATACTCCTTCCTCCTCCTATTTTCCCCACAGTAATACTGTGAGGTAGGCTGGACTGAGACTGAGTGACTGGTCCAAAGTCACCCAACCAGCTTTCATATCTAAGATGCAACTAGAACTCACTGTCTCCTGATTTCTAGGCCAGCATCTTAAGCATTACACCAAACTGGCACTCAAGAATCATGATTTTCATGATTCATGCTTTTATGATACCAACACAACTATGGTATAGAGTTTCCCAAGTCCTGTCCTGTCCTATCCTCTAAGATTATGAAACACTATTCCATTTATATATTAAACATATTTATATCGCTACTGAATTCACACACTGGTGACTCTGGTGGCTTACAGCATTAAACCCCACAACATATAAACTATAAATGTAGTTTTATATACAAATATAAATATAAATATATATATATATATAAAATATATTTACTATTTTATACATGATGTACACCTAGATGTCAGCCAATTTGTCCTTGATCAGCTTCAAAATAGTTCAGTTTCATTATAATATATTATTTAAGGATATGTAAAAATGCCTCCTGAACTTTGGGATTCTGGAACGAAGAGACTTCTGCACATACTTTTAATCAAAATCAACTGCTCCAAACTGCAGCACATAGTAACAAAAGGAAAAGCTACAAAAAAAGAGAGACCTACCTCCATTGATTGGCAAAGGTGCCAGAAGTAGGCCTTTGACACCTATTTTGGGAGAAGTTTGTCCATAGCGTGCCCGTTCAAGTGTTATTGAAGCAGACGTTGAACGATCAGGATTCAACACAGTGACATTTATGAGAGCTGTATAATATATTAGATTGGAATTATCTGCACTCGCTGGGAGGGGGTAACAGTTAAACAGGATCAAAATGGGCACAGAGGACAAGTAGCTCCAGTAAGGCAAAATCCACTTCAGAATCATTTTCAGCTCTTAAAAATCGCTATCTTCTTGTTAAAAATTCTTCGTCGACGAGATGCTCCGTGCCTATTACGAGCACCTATTCATATCAATCTACTCCACAATCAAAAGAAGCCAAAAAGTAATCTCGTATACCTCTCCATCCAGTCACCCCACTTCAATACTCTCGGAAACACTTAAAATGGTGGGAGAGTGAAGAAGAAAAAAATTGTCACGGTTTAAAAAAAATGGGGGCGGGGGGACGGACGGGGACAAATCACATCCAATAAGCCCGGAGCTGTTCTGATCTAAGCGATACGGCACAGGTTAGGGGCTTACGGAGCCAGTTTATTCACAGGCAGAGAGGGAAAATATTCGTATCCCGCCGTTTGGAGCCAAGGCCAAGCAGTCTTCCCCTTTGGATGGCCCCAAAGGAGCTCCCCTTCGGCCTGCCTGGATGCCTCTCTTGGGGCTTGCCCAAAATCGCAGTCCCTTCAAGTCCGGGGCAAAGAAGCGCAGCCGATGGCAACAGCTTCTCGGACAGAGCTTTGTTTTTTTCTGGGAAAGGCGAAAGAGGAAAACGGGCGGTGGGAGAGACAAGCAAGAGGAAAAACACGGAGGGAAGGACGAGGGCCCCTAGGATTTAGCGACACCGTTCTGCTCGAAGCCCCGCTTGTCGCCGCCGCCGCCGCCGCCGCCACCTCCTCCAGGCTGCTGGGGCTGGAGGTTGCTGCAATCAGCGCGCCGGAGGCCGTTGAACGTCGCTCTCTCTCGATTGCCCCGGAGGCTTCGCAGCCGGCGGTCGACCTCAAGCTTCTGGCTGGGTCCCGAGGCGGAGCCCTTCCACGCACGTAGCCTCCACAGACCTTTCCCAACTGCAGGCGAGCGTCCGCAACGGAAGAAGGAGCGGGCGCTCCATGAAGCCTCAGCCCACCGCTCCGGACCCTGCCCTTTGTTCGTCCCGAAGCTACAGGCAGGTTACAGCACACGCGGCCCCACCCACCCACCCACCAAAGCAACCGTCGGCCTCTCTTTTCCTCTCAAACCGACGGCGCTTCTCCGCTCGCCAGCCGCTTCCGGACGGCCGAATTGCCAGACGCCGAGTGTTTAGTTGGGGTGTCGCGCCCGGTGCGCAGGCGCACTGCACCAACCCGATTCCTCACCTCCCCTTTCGACGAGGAAGTGGGATTGAAGTCACGCCCCCTCCCTCCCACCCCCGAAGGGGAGAGGGGCGGGGGAGGGAGAGACCCCAAAGGTCGACGATGAGGAGGAGGAGAAGGAGGGAGAAGGAAGAAGAAGAGTTGGGAGGTGCTGCATGCGAGCTCCTGTCGAAAGCGAGGTAGCTTAGCCCAGGGGTCGCCAACCTTTTGGACCTCAGAGACCACCAAACTCATAATTTTAGATCCCAGGGACCACTAACTGGTTCTGTGGGCGTGGCCTAATTTGTGGGTGTGGCTTGGTGGTCATGTGACTGGCTGGGCATGGCTTGTATGTAAATATTATAAATACGAGTCAGTTGCCAAGCATCTGGATTTTGATATGATTCTGGGGGATGCTGCAATGTTTGTAACTGAAAAATGGTCATAAGTAACTTTTTTCAGAGCCATTGTAACTTTGAACTGTCACTAAATGAACTGTTGTAAGTCAAGGACTACCTGTAATTCCTTGCGTTAGGTGAATTCTTGGTCAAACTTGCACCGGTTTCAAACTGATCAGCAGCAACAACTTTTTTAGTTTTTTAGGCATCAAAACTTGCCCCTTGTGATTAATGACCATTTCAATAAACTATTGGTAGAGAAGATTATTCTTTAGGTATGTATTTTTTTATTCTGACTGAGGAGGTGACTCTCATGGTGGAGCTTCAACCCTAGGTGTTAATGTCTTTTTTGGCTCTTACATTTTTAGTCACTGAGAAAGGCAGAATAAATGCTGGGAGAAGTGGAGGAAGCAGTAAATATATAATTTTTTGCACATTGTATGGCTCATACAAATCATTTGCAAATCATGGTTGTTTCTTACATATATTCTAGCGTGGTGTTGGTGTGTATTTATATTGTATGGATGGATGACACTTGAAGTACTGTATACCTGATTTCAGTGTTCTTTGAAGAACATAAATATTTCCTAAGTCTAGTGGCAAGTGGAAGGCTCCAACATTATAAGCAATTATTAATCTTCAGTGGCTTGCTTAAATCTTCTTTTCAGAGAGCTGTTGCAATTGTGATACACTTTATTGCCAGCGTGAGGCAACTAAATGAAAATCATATTATATTGATTTAGTTTTCCCTTAATGAAGGCCATATTTCTCTTCCTTGTGAGGCTTTACGGTATGACATTTCATAGTAGATATTGACCCTGCACAGCCCACTAAAAATAGGCAGTTTGTGGCTGTGTAAATTCTCAGAAATGATGTTCATGCAAAACACTGTAGAAATATCAGTATAATTGAGGAACCATTTCTGAGCCAGTAGCCAAACATTCTGCTTTCGCATGATATTCTTCTCCTCACAACTCATCACAACTTGGGACATACTGGGTATCAATCACAATAATTCCCCTTTCTAAGCATTTTTTAAAAACATGTCATACTTCCTTTCACTAAAAAAGGGACAGCAAAATGACATATGTTTCCAAGGAATGTAACTTGCTTCATTTTATGGGCCTTTTAAGACAAATGTGCAGTGCTAGGAAAGTTCGCTGGCTTGAGTTGCCTAAATATATAAAAAAGGCAAGATAAAAATATAAATAATAATTCATCATGGCTATTAAAATCTGTTCATACCTGTATTTCTGGATTCTTTTTTGTGGGAATCTCAAGTTTGCATTTTCATATGAAAATTAAAACAAAGTCATTAATTTACAGCTAAACTTCTCCGCTTACATGAATCTCCTCTGACCATATTTGTGTTGAATATTGGTTTGTAAAATAAAACATTTTGCCTGGGACGACATCTCCCAGTCAGCCTTAGCACTTCATGGAGCCTGTACAATATTTTCCACCAGATTTAAATAAGCCACATAGCCCAATGCACAAGTCCAGTAATTTTCACATTCATTTCCGAAGAAGCAAGCTTAAAGACACCTCTTTCTTCCTGCTATACTGGATAGAATATCATGAAAATTGAAATTGAAAAGCAGGGCAAAAGAACATTGAAATGATGCAGTCCAGTTTTTGTTCATAATTGGAAGTTTTTAAATTTAAAATGTATTGAAGTACGTAAGAACTATTTATCACGCTATTGTTTTCAGAGTGCATCCTTTTTAGGGTATGTAGGAAACTCTTTTTGTTTCAAAGAACAGATTGGCTCTGGATTAATGCGTTACTAGCTACATAACATCACTAGGTGGGCAGATATGTAACCCTTGATGTTCTTGTCTAGACCACAACACAGATACCTTGTCACCAACATCTAGTGACTTTAAGGCCTAATTTTAGAAGGAAAATTGGGGTTGTCTTGATTCAAAGCTTCCACCATGTACCAATCATAGTTTTAAGTACCTTCATTGACATCAATGTATAGTATTTGAAGCAAGAGGCAAATGCTTTAAGAGATATTGCAGTGTTAAAGAGGAGACAATTAGCTCTTCTAAGAGCTTTTCTCTTCTCCAATCTCTGGGGAATGACTGGGCCAAAGGCCTTGAGAGATGTTCTCCTCCAACAAAGGAGATGTAGATAGTATGACTGAGCAGATCCAGATTCTTGAATTTGTTCTACTCTACTCAGTAGAAGCAGTTACCTTGAAAATGTGTAATCAAGCTTTAAATCCCATTCACTGTCATCACATGGAGTATATTTTAAATTATTTTTTATAGAGTTGGGGAAAAGCTCTTATTTTTGAAATGTTTATCGTTCCCAGACCTGCGAAGGGAAATCCTTGCAATGAATCATGTGGGATGAATGGAGATCTCCCTTGTCTTAAATTTCCATGCTGGCCTGAAATAATGATAGATAATCTGTCATTATGAAAAATGGACATTTAAAGCAATTGAAATATTTATGGATTTATGAAAAATATTTTTCCCTTTCGCATGCCAACATCTTTCACTGCTTTCTCTGGTCCCATTCCTTGACAATTGAATTTGCTATCAGAAGGAATGGATATTTAGATTGTGATTGGAACTAGGAAGAAGATGTCACCTTTTTTTCTTATTAGTTTTTGCCATATAAAATTAGCAAGATGCCCTTAGATGTGGATGAAAGTGTATGTATGTATGTATGTATGTATGTATGTATGTATATATATATATGGTATTCAGCTTTGTTCAGGTATTTTCCTACGTCATTATAGTTGTGCTTTTAAAGATGTAGCAACGTTTTGGCAGAATCTCCTCTGCCATCATCAGGTATAGTGTTCGTCAGACTTTCACAGCCGTTTCTGTTTTAAATTTGATGCTGGCCTACGCTGTGCCAGAATGGTTTTTTCTTCATCCTGATTGGTTGGGAGTCTTGGTCTGTGTTTATTGGTCTTGGAGTTTGCTGTGTTCTGCTTGATTGGTGTTTCTAATATCTTCTGTCTGTTTTGTAGCTTTTTTTTTGTCTTGATTGGCTGGCAACATTGTGTTTCCTGTATTGGAGGCTTTTAGTGCAGCTTGGCTCTGAGTAAATGGACGGCTATCATTTATTAGGAAGCTAGGTTTCATCTGGGTGCCTGGTTGGGGTGTGTTTGAACTTAATACTCACTAAAACCTAGTCCTCAAGCAGGATTTTTTTGGGGGGAAGACCAGGAGGGTAAGGACATGCAGGTCTTGGGGAAGAGTAGGGGCCACTATCAACAAGGAGTACTACTTAGGTTATGTTATATCCAGCATTTAAGGGAAGTGACTTGAAGCTGGTTGTAGCTTGCAGGTAGTTTTCAAGAGCTATCCCAACTTCAGTACTTTCTTGTAACTCAACCGTGACCATGGCATGAATGATTGTGTAAGGTCTCCTGATCCAGGAATGGTCATAACTGGTGCAGAAGATAAAATTGTGCAGAGTCCCTCTTGAACACAATTGCCATCTATTACAAACTGGGAGTGTGATTTACCCAGAACTAATAGTGATATATCCCTGACCTTAGATGGTTTCCGAACCAAAACCACTTAGTCATGCTGAGACTTTAAAGCAGTTTATCCCTTTCAGACTCTAACAGCTCCAGGCCATGGGACAGCATCTTTTCTATCTTAACTATATACAGATCAAAATGAGCATTATCAGCATATTGATAAATCCTGATCTTTGTCAATAGGTGATACCCCACGGTGGCTCCAGAAGCTGTGTAACATTTTATAACAGATACCTATTAGAATTATTCTGACAGGGATTAGCAGAATGATTCTAAACAGTGTTTCTCACTCTAAAATTCCAGAGATCATAGAGAAGGACACCATAACTGATGGTATCAAAGGCAGCTGAGTGGCCAAGGAAGATGAAGATGATTGCACTCCCTCTATCCTGTTCCAGCCACAAGCCATCAACATGAGGGATCAGTGTGACCTTGATACTGTATCCAGGCCTGAAACTTCCCTCAGAAAGGTTTGGGTAATCTCTTCCACATTTTTTCTCAGCTGTTACGAAAGCTATGAAAGAAAAGTTGGTGACTAGTTGATGGAGTCTATGTCGAGTGATGCCTTCATGAGTAAAGGACACACAGCTGCTTCTTTGAGGGTTGGTGATACCATTTGCCACAGCTATAAGCCATGTTTCTATCACCTCCCTGGAGGCTTTCACCAATCAACCCCCCCTGCAAATGTTCTGGAAGTAGGGTCACATCTAGAATATATAATGCTTGGAGCAGGTTATTATTTTTTTTAAAGAGTAGAGATGCATTGGTTAAGGCATTAGCCTGGAAATGAGGAGACTGTGAGTTATAGTTCTGCATGAGACACAAAGCCGGTATCTTCTTTCAATGTTAAGAAGGAAGAACTGGCAAGCTACTTTTGAAAAATGCTGCCAAGAAAACTGCAGGGGACAGTTGCCAGGAGTCAAAGCTGGCTTGACAGAACAATTCTTTTCCTCTGTCGCTGCTGCATTGATGCCAACCACCAATCCGCTGATTGGCACACAGGCAGCAGCAACTCAAGTCTATACCCACTACTAACTGCTTCGTTATTCAGCAGCCCTTACCTGGGCCAGACTGCCC